AGGCGATTGCACCTTTTTAGCCGCAATGAGCGCCTTTCTGTAGCGTTTGAGACGCTGCACCCCTCTTTTTAGGGCTACTTGTGCTTGGTTCTGAAAGGGTTCTCGTTTGTTACGGGCGCTTCTCCAACGGGGGCCGTCAGAGCTTCCGTCCGACGCGCCTATGGATTGGAGTATTTCTACGCGATGGCTCTCCAGCTTGAGCAGCGCGTCTAGATGCTTTATCCACAATTCCAAGCCTTTGAGTAACTCTGTGCTCTTTGATCTGGAAATCCGAATGGGCTTGAATCAAAAGCAAGACTGTTTTGTCACGATCTGATTGACGACCTCGCCCTGCCTACATATCACACCCACTAACTTTATTCTCGAACCGACCAAAGTAGAAGTGACTGGTGTCGCTTGTGCCAGATTTGAAGCTGCTTGAACTAGCTGAGTCAGACATGACGCTCAGGGCTGATGCCTCTAACGATGACAGCGGTGACTGCCGATCGGCTGGAGAATCGAAGCCGGCAGACAGCTGCTCGTACTTTTCTTGTGGTTCACGAGCAGCGTCTTGCTGAGGAAGAGAGGTCGGCGAAGGTTTGATGATGTCCGGCCGCTTCATTTCGGAGGGCTCGAAGCATGCCCGCTTGATGAGAATGGATTGGTACGTGCCGCTGACCTCGATATCGATCTGCGTCTCCTCCTTCTGACTGCTGATAGCAAGAGCGGCAATCTGATTGCGAATGTCGTCACTGATGTACAGGCGTACCTCAGTCACAAAATCTCTTCTGGTGGGCATACACGGCATACAACCTTTGGCAACTCACGAAATACCGGTCGCCGCTGCCGCGCGATTGAGAAGCTCCATGTCAGGCATGTTGGTCGATGCGTGCCAGTTCACCTTGAATGGACAGCCTGCAATGATTTGGTTGAAGAATATTGCTGGAATCGCTGCGCTCTGTAGCATGACTAGTCTAAAGTGCTGAAGCGTTACTGGCAACTCCTTGTCGAACGGCTTTGTTACCGGTCGTAGCTCAAAGCTATTATAAATGAGTGAATGCTGCGCGAGAACATCGGCTTCGAGGAGAAATATGTGTTCAAGGTCAGAGCGAGTATCGTGTTGTCGAAGCTTTTCAACGTACCTTCCAAACTCGTCGGATCAAAGAGGTCGCATATGGCAGCGCCGATGGATTGTATTACGGGGGGCGCCGCGTCTCTTGCAAAGAGAGGTAGATTGGCCTCCACAACATCTTCGCACGTCTCGTGCTGACTGCGTCGTCCGAAGAAGGATAAGTGCGTGTCGCGACGGGCGGCAGTCTCCTGCATCTTCAAGTATTGGATAGGTGATGCGTTCGCAGCGGCGCGCAGCTCGGAGAGAGGTGGCGTACCATTTGGCCCCATCTCGGTGCTGTGATCCTGAGTCGGCTCATATACTTGCAGAGCATGAAGAGCCCGCCAACGTGACTCTTCTGCACTTGTCACAACATCTTCGCGCGATCCTGCGCAGCCGTCGCTCCACAGGTGCGCTGAGTGGCAGTAGATACAGATCTTCGTTATGCCTTTGAATGTCACCGGGTTCCGGGCTGGCTTCACCTCGCGGGCTGAGGATAGGGTCAAGCTTTCTACATCACCAGCGTGGGTTGATCGCTCGGGGATGAGGACATCCTCGTCTACTGAAGATAGGGTGAAGCTCTCGACATCGCCAAGGTAGGGACTCCGCTCAAAAGCAATGACACACTCGTCTGCTGAAGACAGGCCTTGCACCAGGGGCCAAGTGCGACCATACGGGACTGGGTCCCCATTGCTTTTCTTCGCCCGAGAGAGTTGATCGTTCTCAAGCGCGAGGTATGAACATTGGCTTCGTCGGTACTGGGCTGCCATGTGAGCTGGTCCATTGACCGCGGGCTCCCATCGCATGTACAGTCTCCAAATTTGCGGAGCTACATGTGCATCGCTCAGACCTAAGATTGAGGCGGAGGTGTGAGCGCTGCTCGACCGCCTAAAGATTGTCCACGCACCAGCTCCTCGAATGATGATGCTCAATGCATTCAAACAGTCAATTCGACACTCTTCAACGCCGTTCGAGGTAGCGCAGAGGTTCCTGAGGTTGACCACCATGAGCACGATGAGCCGTTGGGGTCGCAGAAGTACCTCGCAGTGACTCACCTTAGCAGAGCTCCCTTCAAAGTCGGCCAGTATGCAGGGATTAGCAGATCATCGCTGATGCTCTTGAATGATGTCGCGCACCTTGTGGGGTTGGCGAACCAAGAGAGGAAGTACTTCACAAATCAACTGGCGACCATAAGG